GGGCCGCCAGCTCCAAGCGCGCGCTCACGCCTTGCCCCACGCGCTCCCGCGGCGCCCCCTCCCGGCTCCCGGGCGCGGAGCCGGGCAGGGGGCTGTGGGAGTCCGCTCGACCCCCACGGGTCGCTAACTCGCAAGTTGCGGTTGAGCTGGCGCCCTGCGACTGCCCGCGGGGTTGAGAGGATCAAGGCTCAGCCGAGAACCCCCGCGCCCTGGCTTGCCTCCTCGTCCTCCCTGCCCGGCCGAGCGCTCAGAGCTGGGGGTGTGTGTGTTAGGTGACACCCGAGCTCCCCCTTTCCCCAGGCTTCCGAGCCCAGCTTCAGAGGAGGGCGCCCCCTTCCGCGGAGCGGGGATAACTGGCTCAGTATATTCCTCCCCCACCGCGGTCTATTCGAGGGGATGCGGCAGGTGGGTGCCCAGGTAGGGCAGCCTCTTTTGGAATGCCGCTTCTAGCGGACAGTCGGAGTCGGGCTGAGGCCAGGATGCCCCGCACGGGACCCAGACGTGGGCCTCGCGAGCCGCCCGAGGGCGCCTGGCGCGACTGGCAGTTCAGCGCGCGCTCGCGGCGACCCCTGGTGGGCGCGGCGGGTGCTGTAGCGCCGCCTAGCTCCCCGAAACACGGTGCTCTGAGCGTTCTAGCTGACCAGAGGGGCAGATCCCTTCCTATGATGTACACCCCAGTCCAGGGAGCTAGCGGCTGTTGGACTCACGTCTCAGCTGAAGAAATTGAGGCTCAGAGACGCGAAGGTGTTTTCCCAAAATCACCAGCTAGAAAGTGGGAGAGCCAGATTAGAAACAGCCCCACCCACACACACGCATTAACCACCACCTCGCCAGGCCTGCCTATCCTTCAGAATTTTTTTGAATCGTCCTTGAAAACCGCTGTTCATGCCTTCATTCACATCACACAAATGTCTGTGCCAGGGATCATAGTGAGCACAAAGGATATAAGGAAAGAAGGATCCAGGACCTTCTCTCTTGGAGCTAGTGAGGGAGACAAACCAGAGGTAAACAATTATGTAATTTCAGACATCTCAGGGAGAGGTGAAGATAATAAAACAGAGTAGTGAGAGAGACAACATTGGGTGCCCGGGGATTATTTGAGATCTGAGTAGGTGGCATTCGAGTTGAGACCTGAAGGACACAGGATCCTGGGTCCCAGCATTTCAAGAGGGAGGACAGCAATGCAGAAGCTTGGAGGTGGGCATGAGCCCCAGGGAATGCGGGGCTGTGCTCAAGAACGAGAAAGAAAGCCAGTGGGATGGATGGGAGGAGAAGGGGGTTCACAGACCCCACAGAGCTATGTAGGCATGTCAGGGAGCTTAGATTTCACGGGGGAAGTTCAGTGGGAAGACATTGGAGGGATAGGAAGAAGAGCGACTCATCTGATGTGTGTGTTCCAAAGCTCCCCCTTGGCTGCCCCATGGAGAATCTAGGGAGGTGGGGGGTGAAGGGTAGGGCTGGGCAAAGTGGAGCCAGGCAGACCAGAGAGGAGGATACCCCATGGGTTCAGGTACAAGACGTTGGTGGTTTTAAAACACAGCCACACATGCCTCCCATTGAGAGGTGGGCTCCCATGCTCTCCTTGCTTGAATCCGGGTGGGCTTCTGTGTGGCAGGAGTGATGCTACAAGGCTTTCAGGCTAGGTCGTAAGAGGCAATGCAGCTTCTGCCTTGTTTTCTGGAACACTCCTGCTGGAGCCCTGAAGGAAGGAGTCTGGAGGCTGCCATGATGTGAGGAAGCCCAGTCCACAGTCCCAGTTCAGCATTGGAGTTATCCTGGCCCAGGTGCCAGACATGTGGGTGAAAGAGTCTCCAGATGATTTCAACCCCCCACCTCCACATCATCCCTCCCTTTCAGTCTTCTCAGCTGAGGCACTGTGGACAGGGGCTTCCGTGGTCATCCCCAGTGTGCCCTGTCTAAATTCCCAAGCCCCATAACTTGTGAGTATAATGAAATGATTGTTTTATGCCACTATTTTTGGGACGGTGCTTGTTACACAGCAATTGTAACTAGAACAACTAAGGTGGAAGTGGGGTGCAGGGAGAAGAGAGGACGATAGGCCTGGGTCACAAGCAGCTCTGACAGGACTTGGAAGGTCCCAGCTGAGAGGGGGGAAGGAAAGAGAGAGAGAGAAGAAGGGAATGAACAGTAATCCCTAGGCTGGCTGGAGCACTCCCGTGGATGGAGGTAGCAATGAATGACAGTGGTGGGGAGAGACTGCAACAGCCAAGGGCTTGGGAGGAACAGTCACAAAGTCTGTCCTAGCCATGCTCTTCCTCCTGTATTCCTCCTCCTCCTCCCCCACCTTCAGATGGAGTCAGCACCTAGCTCTGAGCAGTTTTCCTCCAAGGCATCACCCAAATGTGTCCTCTCTTTCCTGTATGCATTGTCACTCTTTTCGACCCAGGATTCATTCACGTCACAAATGTTGGGGGATGCTCATGACCAGGACATTGGGGCAAAGTGCTGGGATGTCACAGTGGGTCAAATAAATCCAGTGTCTGCCCTCCTGGAGCAACTGTTCTGAGGGCTGATTTGGTGATCAGTCACATAGGTGGCACTTACTATGTGCCAGGCCCTGTCATCAGCACCCTGATTCATTTAATCCTCTAACAATACCGTGAGGCAGGTGCCATTCTTTTTTGTTAATGTTTTTATTATTAGCATAATTATCATCATCTTATAGAATGGAGAAGGCGAATCATGGAGGGATTAAATAAAATCCCAAACTCCCACAGCTGTACGTGGCAGAATTGGGATTTGAACCTATGCAGTTTTGACTTCAGCATCTGCTCTTAATCCTTCAATTATGCCTCCCGTCTAATGGAAAAGAGAGGCAGGGCCACTACAATAGAGAGGAAGGTATTAGGCGTCAAGGCGGGAGATGCACAGAGAACTGTGGGGACACAGAGAAGAGGACTCCAAATGGGTGGGTCACAGAAGGCTTCCTGGAGGAGGTGTTCCTAAACTGGGATCCAGAAGGAATGAGTTGGGGTTCACCAGGCAGAGTTTTCAAAGCCAGAGGAAGCGGGGCCCATGGAAGTCTGAGGGGCCTGGTGAATGGAGCATCAGAGGGAATGGGGGTAGGGAGGGTTGCAGAGATGAGACTCAACAGGGGAGTCTGGGGACACAGGGCATATTACTAGGTTTGGCCTTATCATAAAGGGAAGCAGGGTGTCACACGATCAGATTCATGCTTCAGAAGGCTCATGGCAGCTGTTACAGGGAATTGAGAGAAGGGGGCAGCACACGGAGGCAGGAGGTGTCAACAGATATGCAGGGCGGGAAGGCCCAGCCCACACCAGGGTGGTGACAGGTGGCAAGGAGAAAAGTGGACAGATTGGAGCGCTGCCTTGAAAGCGGAATAGACAGCATGATACATCCCCAAGGACAAGATTCTGTCCTGGAGGCACTGTGGCTGGTGAGGACAATGCAGAGATGGGACAGGGAGAAGCAGGTCTGAGGGTGATGTGTCTGTGGTCATTGAAGGGGCAATTGAATGAGTGTGCTGGCACTCAGGTGGGCAGATATGGGCTTTCGAGGGGACGGTCTCCAAAGTGAGAAGTGCGCAGTCCTTCAAACCAAGGCATGGCTGAGATTCGGGGAGGCCGAGAAGGCTGAGTGTGGACAGCCCAGCAGAGCCCCAGCTCAGCACGATTGAAAGAACCAACTGGGGAGGAAGAAGGTAGGAGTGAGCAGGAAGTTTCTCAAAGAGCTAGAGTAGGAGCAAAGAGTTTGCAGGATCAGACCTCACAGGGGAAGCAAGAACTGAAAAGGATCCAAACTCATCAACTCAAGCATCCAAAGATCTTTACAGTCTGGCTCCAAGTCACCTTTTCAGCTTCTACTTTTCCCAAATCCTGTGTCCATTTCACAAAAAATTAGTGGGTGGCCACTAATATTTACAAAATGGAAATAGACCAGAAAATAACAGAGGGCATTATACATAATAAGGCTCTAATTGTATGTGTATACTGTGGGTTGTAATAAAAACAAACAAACTTGAGACTGTTACTCCATCCTGTTATTCCTTTTCTGCCTTTCTCCTCTTTTCCACCTGGCCAACGCCTCTCATCCTTCACGGTCCTCCCAAATATGAACTCATCTGAAAAGCCTTCCCTGATTAACTGCCTCTGTCCTAGGCACTTTGTCTCTTCCTCTTTCATTCAACCATCCATCAAACATTCACTGAAGATTAAAGTGTGCTGGGTATGGGATCCAGCAGTAAACACAACAGACATGACCCCCTCCTTTGAAGAGAGCACATTTTAATGCATTTTTTTCCTTTGTGCTCCATGGCCCTTTAGCTGATCCTGGCAGAGCCCTTCCCACGGGAAGGATGTCTGGGCTCACGTGCCTCCCTTTTCCATTAGAAGTTGAGATCCTTGCAGACAGGACCCTCTCTCCTGCGTCTCTGTATCCCCAGCACCCAGCATGACTGAGGACCACCATGGCTTGAGAAAAAGACCATAGACTTTGGCGTCAAAAAGGCTTGGGTCTGAATACCAACTCTGCCACTTAATAGCTGCAAAATCCAGGTCAATTTTTTTCTTTTAATAGTTGTTGGGCTTTCTCTGGGGCTAAAAAGTTTTCACTCGACTGAGAGCTCCCTCAGCAGGAACTGTGTCTGATTCATTGCAAGACCCCGAACCAGCTGTGACTAACTG